TGCTAAGAGACTTGAACTGGTACAATAATTGTATATAACATGAAGTTTCCTGAACAAAATGGCGGAAATTTTAATAAAATATGTTGATGTTTGATCGTAAAATACAAAAAAACTGCAGGTTTGTGCGAGTGACAACAAGTGAATTCGTACTCAGCGTATAAAAATGTATAGATTCGTGTGAATTTAAAGTAGTGCCCGAAGGGGGGCAACAAAACTGAACGAAAAGCGGTCAGGGAATACGGCCTAAAAGAACTTAATGAAAATACGAACAAAAGCACCAAATTTTGAAAGTCTGGCATGCAGGACTGGGCTTTGGCGAGAGAATATGATGTTGACTTTGAGAATTATCCAATTTTCTCGTGCTAAATGATGTTTTGAAACTGGCCCCAGCGGCTCGTCCAACTTTGGCAAAATTTCCAAACGTCACTACTATTAATCCCTAATTGAACTCGTCATCGCATGATTACCTATACTTATAATAAAATTTTTTGTCTCTATATATTACATACGCAGTGTCTATCGATAAATCCTCATTATTTCAATCCTTGTTACATTGGCCGGGTAAATCCTCTAACTTTGGATGAGACGATTAACATTACTATATAACTTCTTCTATTTTTACAGAGCTGGTTTATCACGTCTCATTCAAGTTTATATTCGTTACCTGACAGTAGTGCACAAGTGTGTTGTACGGTTATATCCAGTGTTATGACAGAAGTCTGAAGTGAATTCTTGCGGCCCATATATAGTAAACTTCTTATACTGAAGACGAAAGCTCCATTTGGAAAATCTACAGTTAGTAATCCTCCCATGTATCTTACAGTTCACTACGGATACAAAAATTCTGGTTTTCGTCTGGATATTTTAAAAGAACATAATGTATATACAAATACAAGCTGTCGTGGTTTGAACTATACTTGAAATGACTTGATAAACGCTTCATGTAACGCTAAAACTGTCTGTACCAGTGTTGGTAGTACCCAAGTGAAAATGCTGTGCTGAGTGGTATATTACTACCTTAAAAAATAAGCAGAAACTCGACGTTTCGAGCGAAGACCCTTCGCCACTCATATACCACTCATATAACCACTCAGCACAGCATTTTCATGTAACGCTTCTGTTTTCCGAGATAGTTCAACAAAGTAGTTCAGACACAATCCGCGGCAGCTCGTGTAAGCTTATATCACGTACTTCTGGGAAGTCTTCCTTTACCATTGACAAAATTGTTGTAACATTGTTACCGCAGCTTGACAATTTTACGAGGACTCTACTTTGTCCAAGCAAGTGACGTTTTTGGAACGCGGACGTGAGATTACCGCGAGGAACTGGATTAAAAATGACAAAACATAAGATTTTTCAAGTTTTTTGCTTGCTTTATAAATACTTATACCAATTTACGGGTGACGTCCGTGTTGACAAAAATGCCGCTTGCTTAAAGATGTTGTAAAGTCCGTGTTAAAAATTCAGTATAATACGTATCTAATCGTATTTTACAACTGTGGCACTGAGTTCAAAATGTTAACAAAGCGTTTGTTTACATTACGGACTTTGCAGCATCTTTAAACTCACTATTACGGCCGATGGTTCTACTCATCAACGAGAGCTTGACATTGAGTACGAAAATTTAATAACATTTTTATTATCTACAAATTTATTATCTACAAATTAAAATACATGTTCAGGCCTGTGAGAGACCCCAGGTCATAGCTTCCAGGTAAATTGCTGCAATTTCAGACCATTCTGGGGACTGAATAATTGATTGAAAAAACGTGAACTGTTTTAAATATAGTTTGCTTTTGTTACAAATGGAGATAAACAAACAATGAATGTAGTTGTAGCTGCGATTACTTGCTTCATTTCTTGTTGTATATAGACATTTAGTGTCCTATATTAATATTTGTTCTCATAACGGTTATAGGTGCAGGGGCCGGTTGTACGAAGGTCGGATAGCGCTATCCACTGGATAGTGATTTTTTCAACCTTTGTAAAATGCTTGAATAACTGTGAAACTACGGATATAGACGACACAAGAAGTATAAAAAACATTTAACTTATAAATACTAAACTTTAATATGAGTTATACCAATCAACGACTGATTTAACAAAGCTTGAAAAGATCAATATCCGGTGGATAGCGCTATCTACTGTAGACTTGCCCATACGAACCGCGAAAAAAACTGGAAAGGACTTTGGGAAAGTCTAAGCGCTATCCAGCCTTCGTACAACCGGCCCCAGAAGTCAGGATACGAATGCTTTAGGTTGAGTTTGTGTGTCTAATACAAAACCAAGGCTGGCCGATAATTTAAGAAAATATAAAAATAAACAAATTCCGAATAATAATGCCATAATGGAAGAACAGATGAAAGAACGTCACTCGCATGAAAAGAAAGAATGCCCAAGCACGAAAACCCTTCATCTATATTTTCCTTCTGGTGACGTGTGTTATCTCACTCTCGCTCTGTATATATACTGTATGTAAAGTATTGTATTTTATTCTGTCTGATGATCACTTTGTCAGGCTTTCTTGCCATCCTACTTTTCCTACTTTTCTTCAACTTTCCTACTTTTCCTATTTTTTATTAAAAATTGCTTAATTTTCCAATTTTTTCTCATAAAATCCTACTTTTTAAAGACAGCTTGGGGAATCAGTATGTTATAGCTCTCGTAATTAGATCTATAGGACTCGCAATTTTTATTCCCTATTTGTGTCCCAAATGATAAGATCTCAGGAGGAGAAGAAGTACATTTTCCAAGTATAAAATTTCATAGCATCTCTATAGAATCATAATCAATAAATTAATGAAGACTTTGAAAGTGCATTTCCGACGATCTAGAGATTCCAAATATTCAACTCCCCCCCCCAGTTAATCAAGCATCATATATACAGGGCTGTAGCAACCGGGGGGCTGCAGCCACCCAATAATTTGTTAATAATCCTTTTTTTTTTAAATCATGCAGACCTTTATCATTTGATCCATGAGAAACTGCAAAGAATGAAGATATTACCCATACTTTCCAGCAACTTATCCAATATATAG